TGTTTGTCAGAATGAGTGATATTTTATTTGATATGCAGTTTTCTCATGTTTTTTTAGTCTATGGAGGTTAGAAATAATGTCWTTTGTTTGGATTTTCATTTGTAGGTAAGTGACTTGGGCTCTAGATAGAGTGATTTTTGTTTGTTATTTTTTGACATTTACTCTTATGTTTTGACATATATCTGTGTTGATTTTGGTAAAGAAAAGAAAAATATACTCTTTTTTGTGGATTTTATTTTGTTTTGTTTTTATTTTTTGTTTTGTCATGATTCCACCATTTTGGATTTTTGTGTCTTCATATTTACATTATGTAGAGGTTTTGGTACAAGGGGGTGGACAAGAGTTAAATTTCACACACTCAGAGATAAGCTTCGGTGATTAAACTTGTGGTTATAATTTCAAGACAAATGTCATTGATTTTTGTTTTTAATTTCCATATTGAATGTAACATTTCTTTTGCACAAGAGACTGCCGTTTGTTTTCTGTCATTCCAGGTGATGACATGCGCTTTCTGGTGTTTGAATGGACTTTGGACACTGGACTTTAATGCTCAACTCAGGAACTTTCGTGCTCATGTATGGACTCAAACTGGACACTGATCTGAGTCTGTCAAGCTGAAGATGCAGCTGGTTAATATTTGCTCCACANGTCAGCTTCACCTCAAACCATCAGCATCTCCTGTTGTGTGCCCACCTCGCCGTGTACCCCTCACCCTCTGAGACCGTCTAAAGGCTGAGCTGGATGAGATGGAAAAAGCTGACATCATCCAGAGAGTCACAGAGCTGAGTGGCTGAACGCTCTTGTAGTTGTGGAGAAACCTAAAACAAACAAACTCAGAGTTTGCCTGGATCCGCGCCCACTGAACAAAGCCATCCAGAGACCACACTACCCCCTCCCAACTTTGGATGATGTAACACCAAAGCTGGCTGGAGCACAATACTTCAGCGTGCTGGACTCCAGGTCAGGATACTGGGCAGTTGAGCTCAGTGAGGAATTGTCCACGTTAACTACCTTCAACACAATATATGGCAGGTACTGATTTAAGAGACTGCTGTTTGGGATCATCTCAGCTCAGGATGAGTTCCAGAGGAGGGTGGATGAAGCCTACGAAGGACTACCAGGTGTGGCTACCATCGTCGACGACATTTTAGTGTATGGAAGCACTAAACAGGAGCACGACATGAACCTCTGTGCAGTTCTGGAGAGAACCTGGGAAAAGGGTATGAAGCTAAACAAAGACAAAAGTATAATTTGTGTACCTGAAGTAAGTTATTGTGGACACGTTTTGACACGTGATGGTGTTCGATCGGACCCCAGCAAAATCGAGGCAATCCGAGACATGACACCACTCCAAAACAAGTCCGAACTGGAAACCGTACTGGGCATGGTCACTTACCTCTCAAAGTTTGCACCTCGACTGTCAGAGGCGACTGCACCGCTCCGACAACTCCTGAAAATGAAACATGAGTTCATATGGGACTCCAACCAAGATGCTGCTTTCCAACGCYTGAAGGACCTCCTCATAAAYGAACCAGGTCCAGTCCTTACCTACTTTGATCACAAAAAGGAGGTAAAACTGCAGGTGGATGCTTCAAAATATGGATTAGGTGCTGTTCTTCTACAGGAGGAGAAACCATGGCCTATGCATCTAAAGCCCTGAGTGACACTGAAGTAAACTACGCCCAAATCTAAAAKGAGCTTTTCGCAGTACTCTTCAGCTGTAAACYATTCCACCAARACCTGTGTGGGTGTCAGGTGATTGTGGAGTCAGACCACAAACCACTGGAGTCGATCACGTGGAAACCCCTGGCAGCTGCACCTCCACGGCTTCAGCTCATGATGCTACAGAGGTACGACATCATCATCACACACAAACCAGGCAAGCATATTCCCGTGGCAGACACTTCATCCAGAAAACCCACTGCACATCAGGACTCTTTGTTAGCGAGGGTATGGACTTACAGGTGCACCCTGTGATGGACAATGCTCCTGTGAGTGACCGTAACATGGCAGAAATCAGACGCCACAGGAAAAGATGAGCAGCTCATGTCTTAAAGTGAATCATCCAGTCAGGATGGCCGGAGTCAGTAAAGAAATGCCTCCAGCCATCGACATGAGACCTCAGAGGCAAACAGKATCCTTCTGAAAGGAGAAAAGATCGTCATCCCACACATGCTGAGACCCTAACRCTAACCTGATTGGTGGGCCTGATGGACAGAGCTTCATCAGAGCTAAACAACAACAGAAATCTGAAGCTTCTGTGTTGAACAGTTTCTGAGTTATAACCATTTTACATGTCCTGACACCCCCTCTTTGAAAGGAGCCCCCTCCTCAAATATGGGGTCTATCTTAAAACCGTTGGCTGGAGCAGTGTAGGTCAGACTCATCTACAGTCCTGACTCATTTCATGTTGATCGGTGCAGCTGTTTCTGTGCTGCGGTTGATTAAAAATCATTGATAAAACAAACAGTATGAAAACATTACCTGTATGTTCCGTCAGTGTGGCAGAAATAATGATGAACCAACAGTCACTGAATATCCTTCAATCTCACCAACAGAAAATATTACATCCAACATGGTGGATTTAACATTATTATTATTTATTATTAGGTTCAAACATGGTGGATTTAACATTATTTTTATTTATTACATCCATCATGGTGGATTTAACATTATTATTATTTATTACATCCAACATGGTGGATTTAACATTATTTTTATTTATTACATCCAACATGGTGGATTTAACATTATTTTTATTTATTACATCCATCATGGTGGATTTAACATTATTATTATTTATTACATCCATCATGGTGGATTTAACATTATTTTTATTTATTACATCCAACATGGTGGATTTAACATTATTATTATTTATTACATCCAACATGGTGGATTTAACATTAATATTTTTATTGATCAGTTCCAACANATATAATGTTAACCAAGTTCAGATAAACACATTAAAAAAACCACATTATATAAATTAAAATAAATCAAAAATGATTATTTGTGTCTTCTCTTCCTTCACACTTGCAGTGCCCATCAGACTGCTCTTTGTGCTGTGAACTCCTTGAGGAGCACAGCGCAGAAATATTCCTCCATAATCTTCTTGACACAGTCCAGAAGATATTTTCTGAGTCCTGTTCAGAACAGAAGCTCTGAGCTGGTGTTCAGGACATCATGGGGTCTTCATCAGGCTGCAGATTGTTCATCCACAGAGGAGCTTCTGGATGGATCCCTCAGGTAGAAACCCAGACTGCAGCTACACTCACAGACCACTTCATTAAGCCCACCTGTTCTCGTTAACACAAATATCTAATCAACCAATCACAGGACAGCTACTCAGTGCCGTCAGGCATGAAGACAAGGGAAGACTTATTGGAGGTCAAATGAGGACAAAGCAGGACAGAGGAAGGGGTGGAGCCAGAGGTGTGGCTGGGAGCTTGATTGGCCCTCCCAGTTGATTGACAGGTCATTGGCTGCACTGGAAGGTGTGCTGGCTCCTCCTACAATCTGAATATCTGCTTTTATTTATGCTTGTAGAGAGCAGAGTGATCGATTTAATGATGTTTACTCAGTTTCTGTTCCGTATCTTTGTGAAGTTTTCAGTCTGTGTTCCAGATGTTCTCCAAACAGCCTGTTTTATAACTATCAAACATTCTTCTTTTACATTTTTATTTTTAACAGAAACATTCTAATGCACCACGTGTGTGAAAATGATCTATTTTCTGTTATTTCATGTGAGATAAATATAACAAGTTATTTACTATTCAAACATTTTAAATAAAAGTTTTTGTTTGAACATATCATTTTTATTTTTTATGTTTACAGTCACGGGTCAGAAATGACTGATTTATAAAACTGGTTTGTTAATCTGCCAAAC